GTAGTAGTAGTAGTAGTAGTAGTAGTAGCAGGTGAAGTAGGTATACTAGTAGCAGCAGCAGTGGCAGTAGTGTTAGTAGTAGTAGTAGTAGTAGTAGTAGTAGCAGTAGTAGTAGTAGTAGCAGTAGTAGTGGTGGTCGTAGCATTAATGGTAGCAGCTATCAAAGTCGACGTAGTAGTGGCAGTAGTAGTAGTAGTAGCAGTAATAGTAGTAGTAATAGTAGCCGTAGTAGTAGTAGCAGTCGTAGTCGTAGTCGTAGGCATCGTCGATCACGTAGCCGTAGTAGTTGTAGTAGTAGGAGTCGTGCCGTTTGTGTTGCTATCAGTAGTAGGAGCCGTAGTAGTAGTAGTAGTAGTAGTAGTAGTAGTAGTAGCAGTAGACCTAGTAGTAGTAGTCGTAGTAGTAGTAGTAGTAGTAGTAGTAGGAGTAGGAGTAGGAGTAGTAGTAGCAGTAGTAGCCGTAGTAGTAGTAGTAGTCGTCGTAGTAGTAGTAGTAGTAGTAGTAGTAGTATTAGTAGTAGTAGTAGTAGTAGTAGTAGTAGTAGTAGTATTAGTAGTACTAGTAGTAGGAGAAGTAGTGGTAGCAGTGGTAGTAGCAGTAGAAGTGGTAGTAGCAGTAGTAGTAGTAGTAGTAGTTGTAGTCGTAGTACTAACAGTAGTAGTTCTAGCAGTCGTAGTCGTAGTCGTAGTACTAGTAGTTCTAGAAAGTACCAGGTGGACGACATAGCGGTGGTCGTAGAAATAGTGGCGGTAGTAGTCTTAGTCGTCGCCCCAGAAGTAATAGTAGCAGTAGTCGTCTTAATAGAAGTGGTAATAGGGGTGGTAGTGGTAGTAGTTGTAATAGTAGTGGTCGTAGTAGGCGTGGGAGTAGAAATTGTAGTCAGATTAGCAAAAGTTTTCATCGTAGTAGTGGTAGTAGTAGTAGTAGTAGTAGTAGTAGTCGTGGTACTAGTCGTAGTATTAATATTAGTAGTAGTAGTAGTAGTCGCAGTAGTAGTGGTGCTCGTAGAAGTAGTCGGAATAGTAGTATTGGCGGTATTGGTTGCATTCGTAGCAAAATTCGTAGCCGTTGTCGCATCAGTTCGAATGGTGGTAGTCGTCGTAGAAGTCGTAGTAGCTGTAGTAGCAGCAGCACTAGTAGTTGTAGTGGTAGTGGTGGTAGTAGTAGTAGTAGTAGTAGTCGTCGTACTTCTCGTCGTAGTGCTCGTATTTGTGGTGGCGCCCGTCGTCGTAGCTGTAACAGAAGTAGTGGTCGTTGTAGCCGTAGCCGTAGTAGTAGTAGTAGTAGTAGCCGTAGTAGTAGTAGTAGTAGTAGTAGTAGTAGTAGTTGTAGTAGTACTATTACTACTACTGATCGCATTAGTAGTAGTAGTAGTAGTAGAAGTAGTAGTAGGACTAGTAGTAGTAGTAGTATTAGTAGTGGCAGTACCAGTCGTGGTTGGCGCCGTCGTAGTGGCAGTTGTCGTCGTAGTCGTAGTGGTAGTGGTAGTAGTAGCAGCTGTAGTAGTAGTAGTAGTAGCAGTAGTTGTGGCAATAGTACTTGTATTAATAATAGCAATTGTAGTAGTTAGTGGTAGTAGTTGTCGTGGTAGTCGTAGTAGTACTTGTACTCGTAGTAGTCGTGGGAGTCGTAGTAGTAGGAGTAGCAGTAGTAGTAGTAGTAGTAGTAGTAGTAGTTGTTGTTGTAGTAGTAGTAGCAGTAGTGGTAGTAGTAGTAGTAGTAGTAGTAGTAGTAGTAGTAGCGTTAGTAGTAGTAGCAGCCGTAGTAGTTGTAATAGTCGCATTCGTGGTGGTCGTAATCGTCGGAACAGTAGCAGAAGTAGTAGTCGTAGTAGTAGTAGTCGTGCAAGTAGTCGTGCAAGGAGTAGTGATCGTAGTAGTAGTAGTAGTAGTAGTAGTAGTAGTAGTAGTAGCTGTAGTAGTAGTAGTAGTAGTAGTAGTAGTAGTAGTAGTAGAAGTAGTAGTAGTAGTAGTAGTAGTAGTAGTAGTAGTAGTAGTAGTGGTTGCCGTCGTCGTCGTCGAAGTTGTAGTAGTCGTCGTAGGAGTCGTGGTAGTAGTAGTGGCAGTAGTAGTCGTAGTCGTAGTCGTAGTCGTAGTGGTCGTAGTAGTCGTGGTAGTCGTGGTAGTAGTAGTAGTAAAAGTGGTCGTAGTAGTGGCAATAGTAGTACTACTAGTAGTTGTGCCTGTAGTAGTGTTCGTGGTCGTAATTGCTTTGGTAGTACTCGGGGTAATATTTGAAGACGTAGGCGAGGTAGTAATCGCCGGAGTAGTGGTAGTAGTAGGAGTAGTAGTAGTAGTAGTAGTAGCAGCAGCAGCAGCAGCAGCAGTAGTAGTAGTAGTCGTAGTATTCACAGCACCAGTAGTAGGGGTAGTAGTAGTGGTTTTAGTGGGAGTAGTCGTAGTAGTAGTAGCAGTAGTAGTAGTAGTCGTCGTAGTCGTGGTCGTAGTAGTAATCGCAGTGGCCGTAGTAACAGTAATAGTACTAGAAGTAGTCGTAGTAGTAGTCGGGGTAGCCGGACCAGCAGTAGTCGTAGTAATAGTAGTACTGGTCCTAGTCGTAGTAGTAGTAGTAGTCGTAGTAGCCGTAGTAGTAGTAGTAGTAGTAGTAGCAGTAATAGTAGTAGTAGTAGTAGTAGTAGTAGTAGTAGTAGTAGTAGTAGTAGTAGTAGTAGTAGTAGTAGTAGTAGTAGTATTTGTCGAGGTAATAGCAGTCGTCGTGGTATTAGTAGGCCTAGTTGTAGCAGTTGTAGTAGTCGTAGTAGTCGTAGTAGCCGTAGAAGTCGTAGTAGTCGTAGTCGTAGTCGTAGTCTCAGCTGTAGTAGAAGCAGCCGTAGTAGCAGTGGCAGAAGCAGTCGTAGTAATAATCGTAGTAGCCGTGGTCGTATAGTTTTCGGAGTAGCAGTAATAGTAGTCGTCGTCGTAGTTGTTAGTAGTAGTAGTAGTAGTAGTAGTAGTAGTAGTAGTAGTAGTAGTAGTAGTAATAGTACTCGTAGTGTTAGTGTACTTGTAGTCGTAATTTTAGTAGTGGTTGTCGTAGTAGTCGTAGCCGTAGTAGTAGTAGTAGTAGTAGTAGTAGTAGTAGTCGTAGTAGTAGTCGTAGTCGTAGTCGCAGTTGTAGTCGTAGTTGTAGTCGTAGTCGTAATCGTAGTAGAAGTAATCGTAGTAGCAGTAGTAGATGCAGTCGCCGTAGTAGTAGTAGTAGTAGTTGTAGTAGTAGTAGTAGTAGTAGTAGTAGTAATAGTAGTAGTCGTTTTAGTAGTAGTCGTCGAACTAGTAGTAATAGCCGTCGTAGTAGTAGTAGGAGGAGGAGGAGGAGGGCAACGCGTAGTCTATGTTATTGGAATGTGAGGAGAAGTCTTTCTGGATTTCGCAATATTCTTTTTTCGTTCCGTAGGATTCCTGGTGTTTCTTCAGGACTCTCCAGGATTTGCTTGTATACTCTTCAGGAGTCCACGAGATTCCATTGGTTTCCTTTGGTTTCTTCCGGTTTCTTCAGGATTCCTCAGGGTGCCTCGTGACTTTTCAGGACCCCTTAAGATTCCAGTGGGCTCCACAGGACTGCTCTGGACCCTCATGATTCCTCAGGCTCCGTTAGGTTTCCCTTGAATCCTTCAGGATCCCTTCGGATTTTTCAAGAGTCCTTCGTGGTTCTTTCGGGTTTCTCCGGGCTCCGTAAGAATTCTGGAGGCCCCGCAGGATTCCCAAACGTTCGTCAAGCTCCACAGGACTATGCGGGAATCCGGAGGCGCCCCTTTTTCCTTGGGGATTCCCCGCGGAATTCAATACAACTTTTTTTTTCGGTTGAATCGGGAGGCGCATCATTTTCCCCAGGTGTTCCACTCTAAGAGTTCAATACAACACAATGCCTTTCTGGAATGCGGAGGCGCTCCGTTTTACTGATGGATTCTCTGGAACCCAGAGGCGCTTCATTTTCAATATGGTTTCGTTTCTAGACATGCACATGGACAGGAGGAGGTCCACAAGGTTTCTCGGGTCCAGTCTCGGACACCCCTCACACGTTTCGTGGCCCCACAGGGAGGTCCACCGAAGGCCCAAGTGGCAGCGTTCGCATGGTTTCTCGGGTCTAGTCTGGCACTCTCCTCACACGCTTCGTGGCCCCATAGGGAGCTCGACCAGAAGCTGTAGTGGCAGGGTTCGCATGCGTACCTGGGTCCTTTTTCGGATGACCCCTCACACGCTTCGTGGTCCCATGGGGAGCACCACCGAAGGGCCCGGTGGCAGGGCTCGCATGCGTAACTGGGTCCATCTCAGCAGGATCTTCACACGTTTCGTGGCACCTTAGGGATCTCCACCGAAGGCTCCAGTGGCAGGTTTCGCATGCGTACCCGAGTCACAAACGATCCACTGGCAGGGTTCGAATGCGTGCCCCGGGTCAATTCCGGCACACCCCTTACACGTTTCGTGGCCATATGGGGAGTTCTACCGAAGGCTCCAGCGGCAGGGTTCGCATGCGTACGTTGGCCTATTTTGGCGTACTTCTTACACGTTCGTACTCGGGCCCATTGCGGCACACCTCTCACACGTTTCGCGTCGTAAGTGACGTGCTTGAGGAGACCAGCGCTGTGCTTTGTAAGTTCTGCGGGAGGAAAACAATCAAACAACAACCGACGCCCCCAAACCCCCAGACCCAACCCCCAACAAAAACACCATCCAGATCCCTCCAGCCAAAAAATTGAAGCCGTCGTCATGGCGGGTTTCCGCGGGGGGTCGGCTCCGATCTCTCTCGCACTGGTCTCCAGACGGGCAATTCGGAATGAACGAGCGTGGCTAAGCGCGGTTAAGTCTTCAGAAGGAGAGGTCGATTGCGGCATTGTTGCTTTGTGTTGGCACTGCGCCCAGTATCAGGAGAGGAGGACGGGAGTGCGGTGGGCTCGCTGTAACGTTCGAGCGCACTAGCCTGACTCCTATTCCTGTTCGTACCTCAACTCACGCGTCCTACTTCCACTCCTGCTCCCCTTGCCCCCGGTTCTTCCCGCCGAGGGCTGTACACCGACGGGAGCTGGGAGGGCTTCGGAGACGCCAGCGGCGCCGTGGTGAGTAGCGGCATGAGGCTGGTGCGCTTCCAGGCGCCAGCTCTGCGAAGTTGGGGGGCCCACGTTGCCTTGGCATCGCTGGGAGGTTTTTTTTTCCCTCGGCGAGGACCATCGATGAGCATCCTGGATCACCGAGCAAAGATACCCGCGCGAAACCGAAACATGCACGGGGAATGGACGTCCGAGCGATGGCAATCTGCGCATGCTGAACGCGTCGTCTACAGAGAAGGGGAAGCAGCAGCGGCGGTTGATGTCCAGAGGTCGGTAACGGGTGCGGCACAAGGCGGTTCAGTAATATCGCTTGGGGTCGCGATGGTATTGCTAGTGCCCTCCGCTTTCTGAAGGTGGGTCCCTCCTTCTCTTTCCAGTTCTGGTCTTCCCTCCTCCTGCTCCTCCTTCTCCTCCTCCTCCTCCTCCTCCTCCTCCTCCTTTTCCTCCTCCTCCTCCCTTCTTTTCTCCTCCTCCTCATCCTCCTGCCGTTCCTCCTCCGAGGCCTCGGACCTGCTCGGGCCTGCGATGGCACAGCGGCCTCCGCCCGCCTCAGCCCCCCGAGCATCCGCGCGATGACCAGAGCCCCCCGCGCGATGGTCGGTCGGTCGGTCGGGGCACCGTGCTGCAGGTCGGCGGCGAGCGCAGGTCCCACTTCGGCTCCTCCGATGTTTTTCGCTTCGATTTCGATTCGCTTTCGATTTCGATGTTCATTCGATTCGCTTCGGCTCCTCTCGACTCCCCCGATTCGGTTCGGTTCGATTTCGACGGATTCCGATGCCGATTCGGCTCGACGTCGGATTCCGATTTGGGCTCCGATTTCTCGGCGGAGGCCTGCCGGCCTGCCGACTTCCGCCGACTTCCCACTTCTCCCGACTCGGTTGCCGATTTCCACCGATCCGATCCATGCCGATCGCCGATCCGACTCATCGCTCCGATTCTGAGCTCTCCGGCGAGCGATGGGGGGGAAGGTAAAAGGGACGGGCCTTCTCAGACGGCTCGGAAGTCCCCCAGGCTTCTGAGAAGTTTCCTCTGAGCCTCCTCCGAAGACAGAACAAACATTGCCCAGAGGCGCGAGGGATTCCGAGAAGTCCCGCCGCCGAGTTGGTGAACCGGGTGCTCCAGCGCCCGATGGCTCCTGTTAGGGGAACGAAGAATGACATACACATACAGATTCGGAGGTCCGTGCGGATTTCTCGAATCCGCGTTGGACGCCCCTCCCTGGGGTCCAGCGGCGGCGCGCGAGGGGGGGAAGTGAGAAGGAGAGGGCCTTCACAGAAGGCGGCGGGACTTCTCGGAAGCCCGCGCGCCTTCTGAGCAGTTTTGTTTTGTTTTCGAAACACCTTCCTCCTCCTCCTCCTCCTCCTCCTCCTCCTCCTCCTCCTCCTCCTCCTCCTCCTCTCCTCCTCCTCCTCCTCCTCTGTCTCCTCCTCCTACTCCTCCTCCTCTGTCCTTCTCCTCCTCCTCCTCTTCCTCCTCCTCCTCTGTCCTCCTCTGTCCTTCTCCTCCTCTATCCTCCTCATCTATCCTCCTTTATCCTCCTCATCTATCCTCCTCTCTCCTCCTCCTCCTCTTCCTCCTCCTCCTCCTCCTCGTTCCTCGGGGCGAGGCGCTCGCGCGGGCGCGGGCCCACCACCACGGGGGGCGGAGGGGCCCCCGGGGTGGGCGGCGTGCGGCGGCCCCCCCGGGCCTCGCCGTCGGTGGGGATCGGCTCGGAGGCGGAGTCCCGGGTCCGAAGTAGGGCCACGCGGGACGAGGAGGATAGAGGAGGAGGAGGATAGAAGAGGGGGAGGAGGAGGAGGAGGAGGAGGAGGAGGAGGAGAGGATAGAGGAAGATAACAGAGGATAGAGGAGGATAGAGGAGAGGAGGAGGAGGAGGAGGAGGAGGAGGAGAGGGTAGAGGAAGATACCAGAGGATAGAGGAGGAATAGAGGGAGGAGGAAGGAGGAGGAGAGGAGGTGGAGGAGGACGAGGAGGTAGGAAGGAGGAGGAGAGTGATAGAGGAAGATAGAGAGGATAGGAGGATAGAGGAGGAGGAGGAGGAGGAGGAGGAGGAGGAGAGGAAGGAGAGGATAGAGAAGATAAGGGACGGATAGAGGAGGATAGAGGAGGAGGAGGAGGAGGAGAGGATAGAGGAGATAAACAGAGGATTAGAGGAGGAGGAGGAGGAGGAGGAGGAGAGGATCGAGGAAGATAACAGAGGATAGAGGAGGATAGATGAGGAGGAGGAGGAGGATGAGGAGGAGAGGATAGAGGAAGATAACAGAGGATAGAGGAGGATAGAGGAGGAGGAGGAGGAGGAGGAGGAGGAGGAGGAGGAGGAGGATAGAGGAGGAGGAGGAGGAGGAGGATAGAGGAGGAGGAGGAGGAGGAGGAGGAGGAGGAGGAGGAGGAGGGATAGAGGAAAAGATAACAGAGGATAGAGGAGGAGAGAGGAGGAGGAGGAGGAGAGAGGAGGAGGAGGAGGAGGACAGAGGAGATAACAGAAGGATAGGAGGAGGAAGAGGAGGAGGAGAGGAGGAGGAGGAGGAGGGGAGGAGAGGATAGATGAAGACAACAGAAGGATAGACAGGAGGAGAGAGGGGGGGAGGGAGAGAGGAGGAGGAGGAGGAGGAGGAGAGAGGATAGAGGAAGATAACAGAGGAAGGTCAGCGAATCGGAGGAGGAGGAGAGGAGGAGGAGAGGGGAGAGGATAGAGAGGAAGATACAGAGGTAGAGGGGAAGAGGAGGAGGAGGAGGAGGAGGAGGAGGAGGAGAGGGTAGAGGAAGATACCAGAGGATAGAGGAGGATAGAGGAGGAGAGGAGGAGGAGGAGGAGGAGGAGAGGATAGAGGTTTTTGTTTGAAAGATAACAGGGATAGAGGAGGATAGAGAGGAGGAGGAGGAGGAGGAGGAGGAGGAGAGGGATAGAGAAGATAACAGAGGATAAGAGGAGGATAGAGAGGAGGAGGAGGAGGAGGAGGAGGAGGAGGAGAGGATAGAGGGAAGCTAACAAGGATAGAGGAGATAGGAGGAGGAGGAGGAGGAGAGGATCGAGGAAGATAACAGAGGATAGAGGAGGATAGATGAGGAGGAGGAGGAGGATGAGGAGGAGAGGATAGAGGAAGATAACAGAGGATAGAGGAGGATAGAGGAGGAGGAGGAGGAGGAGGAGGAGGAGGAGGAGGAGGAGAGGATGAGGAAGATAACAGAGGACAGAGGAGGGATAGAGGAGGATGAGGAGGAGGAGGGGAGGAGGAGGAGGAGGAGGAGATGGTAGAGGAAGATACCAGAGGATAGAGGAGGATAGAGGAGGAGGAGGTGGAGGAGGAGGAGGAGGAGGAGAGGATAGAGGACGGTAACAGATGATAGAGGAGGATAAAGGAGGAGGAGGAGGAGAGGATAGAGGAAGATAACAGAGGCTACAGGAGTATACAGGAGGATAGAGGAGGTGGAGGAGGAGGTAGAGGAGGTAGAGGAGCAGGAGGATAGAGGAGGATAGAGGAGGAGGAGGAGGAGGAGGAGGAGGAGGAGGAGGAGGAGGAGGAGGGTGTTTCGAACACAAATAAACTGCAGAAACATTATCAGTATGCACATTTCCGTTCGCTACAGACTTCCAGGTACACCGCAGCAGCAGCAGCAGCTTGAAGCTCGTCTCCTTACTCAGGCACGGAGGCATCGTACGTGCCGCAAGGTGTGGTCTGAAGTCACGCTCGAAAGATTCAACCCTGGGGGCGGTGGCCCTTGAGAAACATATCAAACGGCAAATGTTTGTATTCGCGCTGCCCCCCCCCCCCCTGGCGCCGCCTCTGGCGCCGCCCCTGGCGCGCCCCGCACGGTAGCAGGGTGTGGATGTCCCGCTCGAATTGCTAGCCAGAGCTGGTGGCCCCATAGGGAGGTAGGCTACCGCCTGAGACTTCTTCGCCAGTCACTCACAGACGAGGCTCTCGCTCGAGACCTCCTCCAGACCCGCGCCTTAGGAGTCCAAACAGTGACGTTACAGGGTTTGGATAGCCCGCTCGGATTGCGAATGTGATTTGGCGGCCCCTATCTATGGGGGCTTCCGCCTGAAACTTCCCCGCCATTCACCCAGAGAAGAGGTTCCCGTTCGAGACATCTTCCAGACCCACGACTCAGGACCCACAAGTGATGACACACACTGGGTTTTGATGACCCGCGTGGGTTACTAACATGATCTGGTGGCCCATAAGGGGGTGGGTTCCCCCTTGGGACGTCGGCACAATTTACTCAGAGATGAGGCTCCCACTCGAGACTTCCTCCAGATCCACGCTGCAGGAGCCCAAACATGACGACCTTTACAAGTTACATCTGACCCACTCGGACGACAAGTATGATTCGGCGGCCCCATAGGGAGGTGGGCTCTGGCCTGAGACTTCATCACCATCCACTCACAGACGACGCTTCCGCTCGAGACATCCTCCAGATCCACAACGCTGTATCATGCAGCCAGGGAGGTGGGTATGTATCAGTGCGTTCGCGCGCATGCGCGCTAAAGCGCACGCGTGCGTGCGTGCGCGTGCGCGTGCGCGTGCGCGTTCGCGTGTGCGCACGGGCGCGCGGCCGTTCGTGGGTGCGCGTGCGCGGGCACGTACGCGCGCGTGACGCGTGCGCGTGCACTCGCGTGGTCCTACTGCGCGCGTTTGCAGGCATCCGAGACTTCCTCACCATTCAGTCAGAGACGAGGCTCCCGCTCGAGACCTCCTCCAGACCCACGTCTCAGGAGCTCCAAAGTCACAACCGTTACGGGGTTCAGAGCCCCCTCGTGGATTCTTTTGCATGATCTGGCGTCACCCATAGGCAAGGGGCTCCCGCCTGAGACTTCCTCGCAATTCCGTCGTCGGCGTGGCTCCCGCTCGAGACTTTCTCCAGATCGAAGCCTCAGGAGCCTAAACGTGAGGACAGTTACGGGTTCAGATAACCCGTCCGGATTTATGGCATGATTTGGCGGCTCCATGGGGACGGGGTTCCCGCCTGAGAGTTCTCCATCCTTTACGCGAAGATGAGGCTCCCGCTCGAGACCTCCTCCAGGCCCACGCCTCAACTGC